TTATTTTCTCCTCCTCCTTCCTTTACTTATTTCTTTCTTTTATTTTATAAGATAACAAACTTAATTTATGAACCAGATTAAACACTGCTTCTCTCCTCCTTTATTTTATCCCCTTTTCTCCATTTTTCTTCCTTTTTTTGTTATTTTTTTTATCTTTTCCTTTTTAATCTCCTTTTTTTTTTAAACTTTCCTTAGGCAATGTACAAAAGTAAGGCTGAGCTAGTTAGTCCACTTATTATTATTAGCCAACAATTCTCTCCTACCTATAACTTTTCTTTCTCCTATTTTGCAACTGCTCTGTTGGGCTTCTGCCTGTCTCTGCTATCCACTCCTCCCCTTCCCCTTCCCACGTGTTTGCTTCTCCTATTTTGCAACTGCACTCGCTCAAAAGAAGGTTTTAACCTCCGAAGTCCCTACCGCCCACCTGGAATCCTGAAACGCCCACTAGTGGGCGGTAGGGACCAGGTTGATGACCCATGGATTAGGCAATAATGAGGTTTTCAAGTTGTATTATTATTCTGAAACACTACCATAGGCAATAGGTGAAAATATTTTACAGACAATCTTTTTTTCTGAAGACAGCCTCTGAGGCTTTGGGAAAATAATATATAAATAGAAAGCACCAAGACATTAACAAGGAATTTTAAAGTAGTACTAAAATGTAACAGTCAAACAAACTATCAGACACCTGAGAAGATCGAACTGACTCAAATCACTGCAGGTCATAAAATAGCCAGGGAGCCTGGCATACAGACTCTTCCCTGTAATGCAACAAAACTGGAATTGCACAGTAGCAAAGTAATTTGCCTTTCTCTGATATGTAGAAAGTGTAAAAAAGGTGAACATTATATCAACCAGAGTCTTCGTTTTCTTTGAAGCAGCTCTTACTTGGGTCTACAATTTTCAGTCTTTGCAAAGTCAGTTTTGGTTAAAGCAGTTCTAATAATAGACAATTGTTCAAGCTCATTGCACTTTGCAACCTCAACTGTGCAATAAACGAAGAACCCCACCGAGTTTACTGAAGCTTGCTCCTAAAAAACTGCCTGGGAATGGAGTCTGTATTGTAAACACAGATGCTCTCATGTACCCATACACATGGATATGCTTAGAGAACTGTATCTGGACATATTAAACTTATTGGACATGGTGAATTTTACTATGGCATCTCATAGGACTAAACAGGAGTTGCTAGAGTCTAATGTAAAGAAATATCCCTATGTTACTATTATGACTTGAATGTACATTAACTATCTGTAAATACTTTCCTTGAAGATACTATATCGTTTGCCTAATGATAGTACTATTACCCCTTAAATATATTATTTAGCACATAAAAGGAATCAAAATTAGAAGCTGACTCACAGTACAAAAACAGTTGGTTGTTAACTATTTTAGCTGGAATTTCTCTGGCTTGCAGTCCCAATATGTTCATCTAAAGGGCTCCAGCTTCGAAAGGTAACGTTGATGGGGATCTCAAAAAAAGTAGTACTGTACTTTTCAGATTATAAGACACACCGGAGTATAAGATGCACCAACATTTTGAAGAGGTAAACAAGAAAAAAACGTTTTTGCTTTCCCTGGCCCCCAGGAGCACTCTGCAGGCTTCCCAAACCCTCTGTGTGTCCTATTTTTTTTGCCAAAATGGCGCACACAGAGAGTTTGGGAGCCCTGAAGAGTACTCCTGGAGGCTGGGGAGAGCAAAAACGGCACTCCTGGGTGGTTTGGGAGGCCAAAACCGGGCCCTTATCCTTTATCTATGCAATCTCTACCTTGGTTTGTCTTTCACCGGGTGTTCACATATCTGGCACGGACCCAGGATTTTCTAGGACAACATAACAATAGCTATAGCAAGTCTAAGTGTTTTTAGACTTATATACCACTTTTACATTGTTTTATAGCAGTTTCACAATATCAGCATATTTTGTCCCCAACAATCTGGATCTTCATTTTACTTGACCTCAGAAGGATGAAAGGCTGAGCCAACCTTGAACCGGTCAGGATTGAACATCCAACATAAGGATATGGTATAAATGCAGAATTATATAGGGGTACAGGCAGGCAGTCCTTGATTTGCAACCACAATTGAGCCTAACATTTCTGTTGCTAAGTGAGACAGTTGTTAAGCTAATTTTTCCCCATTTTATGATCTTTCTTTTCACAGTTGTTAAGTGAATTCAACTCAACAACTCAACGACGATAATCTGTATCAAAACAAAACTGTGTGATTTTACAATACTAGAAAAAATTTCAATCAACTGCACCATGGTCATATGTGCATAAAAATGTTTTGATCTTATTATTGAAGTATGATTTGCATATACATTCAGAGATCTTGTTAATGTGAGAACATACATACACACACACACATATATACACATACAGAATACACACACACAGAACTGAGGAATCATCAATGCCCTCCGAGCTTGATTGTTGGCTAGCATATTTCATTAGATGACTAGAGTTAGAGTTAGGGTTAAGGTTATTGAGTGTGAGGTTTGCTCCTTGTTTCCATATAATATAGCTTGCCCTGCCAGTGTTGATGGGAGTGTAGTTTTGTCCTTGGTAATTATTTGATTAGGAACTACTTAATATTGTCTTCTGCTTGGTTGTTGGTCTGATGTTAATCCCTGCTTATCTGGGTGTTGGTTTCTGGAGAGGATGTTCTGGTTTTTTCTTCTTTTTCTTAACCGTTTTATTTCCTCTTTTGAATGGTTTGTGAATATAGTTTATTTTTATATACCTATTGATGACTGATTTGTCTGAATGCCAAGCATTCATGAGAGTTAAATATATAATTATTCTGGGAATGTTAAATTATGGTACATTTCCTTGGTACTGGCTGCAATGAATCAAAACATTTCGTCAAAGGAAATAAGGGAGTAGTATACTGTACAGAGCAAGCAATCTTTTGAGGGAGCATACTTACTGTGCATTATCCAGGTGAAGTACAATCCACAGCTGATGATTGATGGAATCACTGGCAAGAGGCTTCATAGCTCAATTTACATATCTCCTCAGGCCCGTCCCAATGAATATTGTAGTGATGCATCGGGAAACATATGTTACTAGAAAGATCAACCTGTTCAACGATTGACGAAAAAGACGCATGCATATATGAACACGAAAGTATCTGTGCAATTACTCCCTTAATTCATGTTATTAACCCAAAGTGCTTAGAACCTCTTTCTTCGACATAAAAGTTTTCCAGTGTGATTTGCCCAGAAATGAAACAACTTCTTATCCTTAAGAGTTAAAATATATGAACATAACTAAAATAAAATTCGAGGGGGGGGGGAGACGAAGAGGATGGCAAGAGATGCGATGCACCTTATGCCGGATTAGTGGGCGACTCGTGCGTACAATACTCAAACACGGCTAGCAAAGTAAGGTCGGGAGCTCAAGAGCAGCGAAGGCGGCGCCCGTTCAATTGCTTGCTCGGACGCCTTCCCGCTTCGGTACTAACTGGGCTTTGACTTCCACGTCTGGAAACGGGTCGAGCAGAGAGGAAAAGCCTTGGTGTAAATACCGGGAAGGAGGCTCCGAGAAATTGTCTCTGTGTGCAGCTCGACCCCTTCCAGCGAGGGCGGGCGGAAGGGAGGGAGGCGTGCCGTGTTAGGTGGAGGTGCGAGCGAGCGAGCCGTTTGAGAAGTTGGCGGATGGGCGGGTGCACCACGCAGGGCTTCTCCCCGGGGAACGCCGAGGGAGGGGATGGCTGCTTTCGGGGGAAAGAAATAAACCCCAAAACTGAGCCTCAGGCGACCGGCTGAAAAGCTCCGCCGGAGGAGCGGCTGCGAGACAGAGGCGGGGAAGAGCGCCGGGGGGCTGTTCCCCACGTGGCGCTGACGCTGAGCCACTGATCGCCGAGCCGATCGCGGGCTATAAAGTGAACCGGGAGCCCAGAAGGGCTGAGCTTCAGCCAGAGAGCGAGCGCTGCCTTTCTGGAGGAGGAGGAGGAGGAGGAGGTCCCAACCCTGAGCCCCAAACCGTCTCCGTTTGCGGCCGTTTGCATCGCTACAGCAGCGGCGCCCGGTTGAGGGTGTGCGGCGGGGACCCTCCGCTGCCTCCTGGCGTTTCTTGGCGCAGTTAATTAGCTAAAAACGGGGTTCTTCGTCGCCCCCATGTAGGAGCTGCTCCGCCGGGAGAAGCCAGGCTCCTTCTCCGCCGCCTGCCTTCCCCGGAGGTCCTGTCCTCGCCTTCCCTCTCGCGGAGTGAAGGTAAGAAGCAACTTTTGACTCCCGCTCCGCCTGCCGCGAATGGCCTCTTGAGGAACCCCCCCACCCTCGTCTCGGCTGGACTTTATGGGGAAAATCTGGGCCAGTGGGGGAAGGAAGGAAGAAAGGGAGAGACCCGGTCGCCCTGCCCGTCGGCGATGACTGAAAGGAAGGCGGGGGGCAGTAATGGAAGCTGAGCCAAGCCGCTTCTCTTGCTTCTGATTGGAATCGGTGGCTTTCCGGTGCCTGCAGAAAGAACCAGCCCCGCTGGAGACAGGTGTGGGATCTCCTCCTCCTCCTCTTCTCAGGGTGTGCTTGCCTTAAGTGACGTCAATGAAGCTGGGTTGATGTTGAAGCTGAAGAGCCAGTAACCAGAGCAAGGGGGATTAACTTCCCTGGCCAGCTGGAACACAGCTACCCACAGCACATGGATGGCAATGGGAGCTTGAATGGAAGTGAGGGCGGGCAGAAAGAGGGCCTTCCTTACCCCTTGCCCACTACCTTAGCCCTCATCTTCCTGGCCACGCTGCTCATGATCTTCACCATCTTTGGCAACATATTAGTCATTATTGCTGTCTTCACCAGCCGGATGCTGAAGGCCCCTCAGAACCTCTTTTTGGTTTCCTTGGCCTCAGCAGACATCCTGGTGGCCACCTTGGTCATTCCCTTCTCTCTCGCCAATGAGGTGATGGGCCAGTGGTATTTTGGCAAGGTGTGGTGTGAGATCTACCTGGCTTTGGATGTACTCTTCTGCACTTCTTCCATTGTGCATCTCTGTGCCATCAGCTTGGATCGCTACTGGTCCATTACACAGGCCATTGAGTACAACCTCAAGCGCACACCACGCCGCATCAAAAGCATCATCTTCCTGGTTTGGGTCATCTCCGCTGTCATCTCTTTCCCACCACTTATCTCCATTATGAAGCAGGGTGAGCCCGAGGGTCAGCTCCACGAACAAACAGAATTGAAACCTGAGAACAAATTGCCCAGCTGCAGTATCAACAAGATGACCTGGTACATCATCAGTTCCAGCATTGGCTCCTTCTTTGCTCCTTGCCTTATCATGATCCTGGTCTACATCCGTATCTACCAGATTGCAAAAAGGAGGTCTCGGGTGCCTCTCAACAAGCAAGGGGAGACTGTAGAGAGCAGACAGAATGGGTTGGATAACAAAGATGATACAGCTGCGATAACCAAGCTCAATGGGGGAAAGGCAACATTGGCAAGAGGAAGCCGAGAATCAGAAGCCAATGGTATAGACCTGGAGGACACGTCTTCTTCAGAACACAATGACACGCCTCAGCCTAGGAAAGCAGACAGGCACCCCAGAAGTAAGGGCAAAACCAAACTCTGCCAAATTAAGCCTGGGGACCATTTGTCTAATCAAGTAGAAGAGGAAAGAAATGCCAAAGCTTCACGATGGAGGGGGAGACAGAACCGGGAAAAGCGCTTCACCTTCGTACTTGCAGTAGTGATTGGAGTTTTTGTTGTCTGCTGGTTTCCTTTCTTCTTCACTTACACATTGACTGCTGTTTGTAGTAGCTGCTATGTTCCCGATACCCTCTTCAAGTTCTTCTTCTGGTTTGGTTATTGCAATAGTTCCCTGAATCCTGTCATCTATACTATCTTCAATCATGACTTTAGGAGGTCCTTTAAAAAAATTCTCTGCAGAATAAACCGGAAAAGAATTGGGTGAAGCGGGGATCTGTTTGCAAGGCAAGTCTTAGGTTCAGCTGTGGTGGGATATTGGAAGTGGGTGGCACCTTGTCTGATTACTGAGCATTGACTCTTCAAAGGCTTCAGGTGAGATAAAACAATTAAAATATTAGTGCACAACCAGAACCCAAGAGGATATGTGCCCAGGGATGGATCAAAAGTCTTATTTTAGTGTGTTCTTTCTATGTATTTCAGCACATTGAACAAATGAGGCTGGGAAAGGAAAATGTAAGTCATATCTTTCAGAAGCACTTTCTTTCTATTTTCCATCTAAGGTCCCTGATGTTGTTATGATATTGCATCTTTGAGATCTGTGCATCTTTAACTTTTGTAGGAAAATTAGCTTTAAACTGTTCTAAATATTTTTTGAGGACACACATACTATATGAAAAGCAAAAGAAAGATACACATTTGAGTGGACCCCTACTGCCATCTCATCGATTTCAAATATTATAGTATTAAATTCCAAAATTTCCAATATGGTTCTGGATGTTGGGATATAACAACTGGTAATATAAGCTTTGACACAATGGCTAGTGTTTGATTGTATTCACTATCTATATTTGTTCCCCCCCCCCCCAAAAAAAATCATGTTTGTCTTGTCTTTTTAAAATGCAGTATTGTTAAAAGGCCGTATCTCTTATTCTGTACCAATTGAGAGAATCAAATATGAAGGATTTCACACTTAGAAAAGGAACTGTGAAAAAGCTGAGCTTTCTAAGACCTCAGTGGTTTAAGAGAAAGTATTCTTTCTTTGTGATCCTTTCATTGATATGTTCAGTGCAACTTACTTCTTTCTCTAGTTGTAAATAGATACCATAGATGAAATTCTCTGTTTACTTTACAATGCTATTTGATTTACACTGATTCTTTTTTTAACATTTTCATTTATGCTAGCTCTCCTGTACAAAAACATATTTTCATGTACAAGTTCATTTCCCCCCCTTTACCTAATATGAAACCAAACAAATCTTTTCTTCCAACTACAAAATTGGATTATGGAACTCTTGATTAATCACATAATGAATGTTATACATGAGTATAAAGGAGAAAGAAAATGAACAGAATAATTGTAACATGTAAAAAATCATGTTGGCATAGGATAAAATATCTTCGTTAACTATCTTCCTTGTTTTTTCCCCAGAAATACCTATTGCAAGCTAACTTTCTCAGCTCATCAAATAAATATACTGAGTACTATTAAAAGGGAAGCGGAAAACATCATAATTTTATTTTCAATATTATGACAACATATTATTAAATGTACAATCTATCTGATGATGCTGTAAAAACTCTTCCTTTTAAAGCTGTAAATTGGATAAATTCTTTATGTGAAAATTTTTATATGGATGACAGGGCCTTCTTTAAAAAATGCCACCCTATTCTATGAAACACCATGGATATCCAATCTTCAGACTTGTATGCCTATATTTTGTAATTAAATAATTTTTTAAAAATGAATCTGATACTCCTAGTTAGTCTAAAACTAGAATGCTAATTGAGAAGGGAAAAGAAAATAAGTTATTAGCAACAAAGATATTACTTGTCTAAAAGCTCATTTTTTAAAAAAAAAGTTAAAAGAGTTAATTGCAAATGTTTGCCTAAAGTGTTTTTAACCCAGACTTTAAAATTTCTTTTTTTAAAGACTCCTTTTCCAGTGCAAGGAAATTCATACTATTTATATGGAGCTGTTTCTAAAATGTGTATTAGTATCCAAGGGCTCAAACAATGGGGGTGTGATGGGGACATGGGGATGAATACACCAGCACACAGTCAAAAATAATGCTGCCATTATAAGTCTATTGCAAAGGTATTGCAATTTAGCAGGATTGAGGCCAGGCCTTATATATGAATCAGGCTGCTTGGTCAATAAACAGTTTTCCTTGCATTCCGTTTAAAATGAGAGAGTCATTTTCTCCCTGTTGCAAGATAATAAAAGTTCAAAGCCTGTGTGACTTCCCCTATTTGTTGTAATTGGCATTTGAAATGCTGGAATTTTAATACCCACTTCTAACCAGAAAAAAAAATCAGGACACATAGATAAGAAGAAATTTTTCTTTTGATGGAGGGAATCTGTCTGCATTGTGTTGTATCTTGTATGTCCCCAATTTCATGTTTTCCTGCTATATTTGGACTGAAATTTGCAGAGTTGTTCATGAAGGCTGGGAATTCCAGAGATAAGCCAACACATTTGGAGAAGGCAATTTGGGGAAGGTTGAAGTATTTCTAATGCCTTGAAGGAGCTGAATAAGAGATTTCAGTTAGAAACACTGTAAGCAGTTTGTCTTTTCCAGTCTTACAGATTGATTCTATGGTTTGTAACAAGGAATTCAACTGCTAAATTATTTTACATAGTAAACAGGTAGCAGAGTTCCAAATTTACATAGGAAATTAAGAACCATGTTTTCAATATGTTTCCAAATAATACCTTTGCAATGGTCTATCCACAATAGGAAAGGAAATGGCTTCCTTATGATATAAAAGGAATAGCTTAAAATTCAGGCCAGAGTGAAAGGCCAGAATCAATGGCTTAAAACTACAAGGAACTACAGTAGGTTCAGATTAGATGTCAGGTGATTGTCCTCATTACTGTGTTTCCCTGAAAATAAGACAGGTTCTTATTTTCTTTTAACCCCTGAAATAAGCACTTGGCCTTATTTTCGGGGAGGTCTTATTATTTTTGAGGTGCAGGAGGCGGCAAGTGTGGTCATTTCATGGCTGCTGCTGTGTTGCAATATTTTTGGAGAGGGCTTATTTTTGGGGCAGGGATTATTTGAGTCCATGCGCTCAAAAGCCTGATTGGGCTTATTATCCAGGGAGGCCTTATTTTCAGGGAAACATGGTGTATGAGCTGTAAGTGAGTGGAGTAAGATGCACGGAAAGTGATATAATGTGGTAGATAAATAAGGTGGCCTTGAATGACAAAAGGAAGATCTTCAGGTAAATGAAACCTGAGCCCAGACCAAGAAAGTACTTTGAGAAAGTGTCTCAGACAGTGCTCTCCTTGTTAATGTTCATCAAGATGAAAAAGGAAGGTAACACATTCAGACTTAATAAGATACTTTATTGGAACAAGATCTGGGTGGTTTCTGTTTTTTAAGTCTAGCCTATCTGATAGGATTGCCATCATTTCTTCTTTGCCAAAAGTCTTTCAAACAGAAGCTAGATAGTATTCTTTCAGAGATGTTCCAGAGCAGGGCTGTCAAACTCCCAGCTCATGGGCTGGATGCATCACGTTGGCCATGCCTACTCACGGTTTAGTGAAGGGGAAAAAAGTCCTGATATGCTGTGACGATGTGAGTTTGACTCGTTCTAGATATTCATACGTTCAGCAGAGTGTTGAATTAGATGTAATGCTTCGATGATAATAAGTAAATACAAGAAAATGAAATATACTCAACTCTTATTTAGCTGGCTGTGTTAATAAAATTGATCAACACTGAGCTCAATTTACACATCTCCTGGTCCTAGGAAAAAAAATGGCTTCTGTACTGCCAGCACTGGGGTGACCTTTTCACTCAGATGAATGGGATTGGCTGTCTCCAAAAACTCATCAAAAAGAAAGCCAGAGAGCCTTCTTATCATCTGAAAAATGACTTAAGATGGAATAAACTGTAAACTTTAGCCATTTGGTCTGAAATAGCACAAGGGAAAAGTTAATTGGCCTTGTAAAAGATCTTGGCTTGAGAATGTGGGTTGCATATTTTCAGGGTTCTGGTATTAAATGTACTGTATGAAACAAGTAAACAAATGCCTTACACTGGAAAAATAAAGTAATTTCTGGAATATCTTTCTAAATCAAAGTTGTATCTGGTATAACAATCCCTGAATACCATGCCATTTGACCTTTTTAAGAAAATGTAACATGTAAACAGAAATAGCCATAATGGATTTATAAATAAATGAATAAAATTGACACCTCTAAAGACACCATCTTTGTCATCTCTGTGTTTGGTTTCAAGACTTAATCAGCAAATGGGAACTGACCTTTTCAAGTACATATTGCCATGGTCCCTTGTATTTAATCATTGTTAAGCCACATGTTAAACAGAACAATGGCTTTATTATGCTCTAAGAAGCTTTTGATATGATTGTGCTTTCTTATAGCAGAGCAAATCCATTCATGTACCTCTTTAAGGCCAAGAATAAAATCATGTTTGAGGTTTTTGATATTTCTCCCTTTCCAGTTCTGTCCCTTTTTATCATCTCATGAAATACTGTTCTAATCGGGAGTGTACAAACTGTTGAAGGACTGCTGACTAATTAGGTCAAGTGCAAACAGAGATTATTGGCGTAAAGCAATGCTTGTGTCCAGCTAAATGCTTGATAGTGTTTAGAAAAGGTAGAACTGCAGAACAGATCAGTTATTTCAGTTAGACAACCCCAATTCCGTCCAGATTGTAAGATTTAGCCCAGAAACATTTTATTTGCATGAAAAATGGATAAAAAAATTACAGGCAGTAATTTTTACAATTTGTACTATGTGCTGTCTGTTCCATGTAGTCTCTAGATGCCACTGTGTTACTGGTACTAAACTAATACTTGATTTCTTAATAAGATTTTATATTTAATTAATTAGCTGCAAGGAAATGATAGTTCTGTGAAGGGAACTAGGGAACGTATATCCTTAAATCATAATTCCCAATTTACTCATTTATTTAAAACATTTTTACTCTGCTATTTAGCTGAGAAAGGTTTCCAGAACATCTTGTATAGGTCATTAAGAGAAAAAAAAATCTTGGTCTCAGGCTTAAAGTCTAAAAGTCGTCATGCAAAAATAAAAGGCCTTAACCCTCGAGTAAAAAAAAAGAGGAAAAAGCTATCTCTACCTATACAGCAGTTTTATAATTTACAAAAGATATAAAATGATCAATTGAAATAAAAAGTGTTCCGTGGAAAGAGGAACAAAAGTCTGTAAAAAGGAACTTCTGAATATATTTCTCTTCTGTTTACAACTTCAAGTTTTTCTCTGTTCTCGAGTGTTCCAAGCTGAGGTTCATTGTCTAGTCAAGCAAGGTACCAGAGATCTTTAATCTGCAAATATTTATTACAGGTTTGCAAAGCCAGATCAAGCTCACGTGGGCATGCTCAGTATCATTCCATGGGAAAGGTCGAAACAAAGAAAACAGGAAATAGTTATAATCAAGGGACAAGGAACTGCAGGATTGTAAAATAGGATTGGTTAGAAATTAATTATCAAATTTATTAAAATGCTACTATGCACTTACTATGCTGCTCCTATTAAATGTCACATCCCAACTTCCCTAACTGAAGTCTAACTAATGTCCTCTTGAACCTTAACTGCAAGGCTCAACTCTATTACACAACAGAAACCATTCTTAAAAGCTAGGTAGTTAATAGTGGCTGTGTTTAAAACTCTGGCTATACTCAGGAGCCCTGTGCTAAAACATCTATAATGCTCAAATTGCTTAAATGCTTCCAAGCTGCTCTTTCAGTTGAGCTGATGGAGTCTCTTCCCTCACTGAGTGCTCTCCAAAGAATTGTGTCTGGTAAATCAGTGTAATACCACATATACAGTTGTGGTATAATTATCATAAAGCTCTGCCAGTGAATCTCAGCAAGGGGATTCAGAAGATATTTCTGCCACTCAGAAAATAAAACCTACTTGCCAAATTACTGAACCCATGAAGAAAGTCAGCAGCTGCAATATACTTGTGCTCCCATCTTTGTAAAGTCATCAAAGATATATGCACTGAGCACCATTCTCTGGATTCAGCAGACTCCATCCAGCCAAAATCCACTTAAATCATTGGAATGATTTTGTAGCCAAGGCTGCAGGGTAGCCTTTGGGTTCTAAGCAGGTTTAGCCATTGGGTCAGGAACATAGGTTTAAATCAGTGGTGGGTTTCAAAAATTGTTTGAACCTACTCTGTGGGTGTGGCCTCCTTTGTGGGAGTGGCTTGCTGCCCATGTGACCAGATGGGAGTGGCTTGCCGCCCATGTGACCGGATATGAAGATGCCAACATGTATCAGAACCACCTTAAATTACCTCACACACAGCACTGGCATGCATAAAAATATGATGTAAACTTGTTTTTTAAAGG